ATCACACAAGTTTGTGTCCATCTTCCATGTGGACTTAGTTGATGCCTCACTTAGATGGCTGCTTGTTTTAAGACAAGCATTTAAGACCCAGACTTTTTTTTTCCCTCAGAGCCAGTAACCATCTGATTTCTGTACCACACTTTGCTATGACATCTATATCTTTAATGATCTCTCCATGAGGGTGAGTATGGAGTGGGGTTATGTCATAAGAAATCATTGTAGTTATATTGAGGCAATGTTTGTGAACCCCACATCCATTCATTTCTCTGATATATATGTCTCTGGTTCCCTTTGGAGACACTATTATTAATTTATCATAGAGAACATTATAAATCACTCACTTAAGACATGACATTATTCTCCCAATAGTGTCATTAATTTAACCAATGTATAGAATGTAAAATATTCTTCAAAAAAAGGAAATTATACATGCATAGGCTGACTTTTCAGACTGTAATGCATAAGTTGTTGAGTTGCACAAATTCAATCCTTAAGTGACTGGACACTATTACAGGAACAATGAAGGTGTTGGATAGGGTAAATGTTTCAATAGCACTCATTCACAAAGGTGGAATCATGCCTGCCAGATGAATACATGTTATAGAAAGAGAAAGAGAACATAAAAATAGCAAGTATATGGTAGTCCCAGTCCCAGGCAGTTCACTGGGCAGCCTCGGTGTTAGGCCGTGCTGACTATGGAAACAAATTCAGTGGCACTCCCATGACGTGCACCGTGCGCGCGCGCGCGCGCGCCCCCCAGTAATATATTTAAATTTTCTTACAAACCAACTTTATCACCTTCAAAGTACTCTTCATTACACTTAATACATTTGTCAAATCTGTAATTCCATTCTTGGAAACATTTTTCAAACTCATCTCTTTGGAAGACTGACTGTACCTCGTTTTTTCTTCACTTCTTCTATGTTATCAAATATATGCCTTTTCCTGTCCCCCTGTATTCACAGAAACTAAAAGAAGTCGCCCATAGTGAGGTCAGGTGAGGAAGATGTGTCGGGCAAGAGAGGCATGCTGGGTTTTTTTTTTTTTTGCCAAAAGCTGGTACACTGAGATGGCTACATGAGCAGGTGCATTGTCATGGTGGCAAAATCAGTCCCCGTATCTGCTACAATTCAGGCCTTTTTTGTCACACACTGTTATGCAATCTTTTCAGAACCTCTAAATAGCTAGATTAACAGTCTGACTTGGTGGAACAAACTCCAAATGCCCTAAGAGTTAACATTTTTGTCTGTTGAAACAAGGTTTGTCATCAATCGACATTTCATCTTTTTTGAAATGAGAAAACCACTCATACACTTGAGTTTTTCCCATAGCACGGCCTTTATAAACTGTGTTCAATATCACAAGTTTCTGTGACATTTTATCTGAACAGGAAACCTAATTTTACAGCCACAAGCTCTTTGCTTAAATCAGCCATCACAAAAAACAAGGTTTGAGCGAAACTGCTTTTGCAAAAAAAATTCACTATGACCAGAGAGAACCTTCCCAGGTGAAGTCACTGAGTGCACTAACTCAGAGCAAGTTGTTCAATGCTCACCTAGCAGGAAAAATGCATACTAAGAAAGCTCCGCTTTGCCCAGCACAATTCCGATTTTTGTGGCGTACCCTTTCTATATGTGTAACAAAGAGCTTTATATCAAGAAGTAATTATATATCAAGAAAACATCCAGCTCACTCCAACTGAAGTCCGTAAGTCTGATATTAGTCTATAAGTTCCTTTCAGACTCATGCAGCCACAGGCTATGATGCAGAATGCAGGAAGATCACAGGCAGGTATGTGCAAAGTCATGAGGATCCGAGATCAGTGGAAACATGGCAGGCTCCTACAGCTCTCAGGGTGACCAGAAAGCAAGAAGGTGAAGGCAGAGAGAGAAGGGAAGGTTCTCTGAGCCTTCCATATGAAAAGGCCTTCCCCACAAGAATGTACCATTAGGCTATGACCTGATTGACAGGTTGAATACCACCCCTACACTTTTATATCTTCAAGTTGGATGAAATTATATATCTACCACACCCCCAAAGCAAGAGATCCAACCCAAAATCCAATGGCCACAAAATCCATAGCGTTGGGATAGAGGTTATCTGCTTCTTCTCATACTACGTTGTTTCAGCTTTCCAGGGATTATGTCAGTTCCTTAAATTTCCTACAAATGTGTGGAAGGTAAAAACCCATATTGTTTAGTTAGATTTCCAACTTAAGTCCTTCTATTGTAGCCTGTGAAAGATGTATGCCTCAAAAGAATGGAGTTTAACGCCCCAGTTGGCTATAGCACATGGCCTGGGTAACCAGGGCTGGATGGAAATTGGTCAGAATTGCCCAATTAGGAACATAATGCCAAGCATATTCTCCTTCTTTGTATGTGATTTTGAAATTTTCTATTATGATATTTTTGGTGATTTTCTTTTAGCATATATATATATATATATATATATATATATACTGTTCATACTGTATTGAATGCATATCTTGTCATCTTTCATAATGTTAGTGTTTACTTCCAACATCTCAACAATTTTCTCTGTGTGTTCAATTATTCATTCTTCCTGTTCTGGAATTTAAATCACATGCAATTTATTCCTTTTGATATTGTCCCACATAATTCTTAAGCTTTCTTTAGATTTCTTTTTTAGTGTTATTCCCCAAACAGATTAGAATTAAGAGATTTGTCTTTAAACTCACTAATTACCTTCTGTTTATCCAGTTTTGCCCCTTTGCCCATTCAATTCATTATATTTTTCTGAAATCTTAGTATTAATATATCTATTTCTACTTGGTTTTTTTATATGGCTTCTTATTTTTTTACTTATTCTGTTGGTTTATTTTAGTAGTGTTTCCCTTGTTTTATTGTTGTTTCGTATGTCTTCCTTTAAATTCTTTGATTTTTCTCTGAAGGAGTATAAATACCATTCTTTTGAATTGCTTATCTGGTAGTTTCGCTGCTGTTTATTCTTGAGAATGATTTTATGATTCTGTATATTGGTCATTTATTTAAGCCACTCTGTCTTCTTTCTTTTTGACAAGTTGCCTTTTGTCTTTGAGGTATTGTGCTGGTGTGGTACTTGTATGTAATTGAGGATTGCATGTTAGTAATATCTTAACCTTTCACTACTAGTCCCATTCTGCGTATAATAGAAAATGTGAGTGTGTGTACAATTTTATTTTGCTGTTCGTATAACACAGTTGAGGGAAGTTTGTGTCTGATGTTTTCCACCATCTACCATTGATCTTGTGACATACCAGTGGGAAGTGGCCCTCTCCTGGTATGTGAGGTACGTTAGGAGGTACAGATGAGACTGCCTTGTGTTGGGACCATTGCTGCCTCCCACTGGGTATGTTAAGAAACAGAAAGAGATAGAGAAACAGCAGACCAAAAAATAATAAAAACTCATAAGTAAAAAGAAATCAAAAATAAGATTACAGGGAAAAATGAAGGCATACAATAACCAGAACTGGAGGGTAGGGAGAAAGAGAGAAGAGAAAATCAAAGTGAGGAAAAACCAGAGAGAAAAGAAAGAAAGAGGGGAACAAAATGAAAGAGAGCCAGAAGAAAAACATGAAAATGGACAGCAGCAAAAGAAGGATAAATAGCAAGCAGAGGTTCTAGGGAGAAGAGACAAAATACACAAAAAGAGAAATAAAGGAGGAGACTGTGAGGAACAGAAAACCTAGTATCAATGGGCACCCTCTGCCAGCTCAGGAGTCTACAGGATGCTGTCAGAGGGGTGGTACACTACTCCTGTATGGAGGCCCTACTGACCTTTATGCTATCTGGGTTCAGTGCGCCTGAAACAGAAGTAGTTTTTGCCAGTTCAGATGGTGGCAGAGATCAAAGTGCCCAATTTCTTTGGGCCCAGAGGGCAGCTTCAGGCTCAGAGAACCAGTGGGCCACTGGTTATGGTAGGAGGTTCTACCTGTCAGGCAGTACTCAGGGACCCTGACCACTAAATGTTCTGCTGGTCGAAAGAATGGGACATCACCTGCCTCCAAATACTAGAGTTGTACACCCAGCATCCCATTCACGAGTCCAGGGTCTGGCCTCAGGAAAAGTAGGCTCCCACATTTTGCATCACTAGCCACCACCAGTGTGCAAGGCTGATGTATGGATGGAATGTTGCTTGTAATAGTTCAAGATGGCCACAATATATTGGGGCAACCAATATTTGTCTCCTTTTTAGCCTATCTGTTTGACTTCTCATAGCTGACATTTAGTTTACTTCTGGATCCTTTCCTTTGAAGCTCAGAGTTCCAGGGTTATCATTTGTATCTGTTTGAGCAGGTCTCAGGTGTCTGTGTATCATTTCAGGCTAGTTTTCTATCTTGCCAGACTCTAGGAGTATTTAATTATACATATTTTCTAAGGTTAATGTAGGGAGCTCTGGTGGTGCTGTCAGGTAGTTAAACATTTGATTGTTAACTACAAGGTCAGTGCTTCAAACCTCAGAAACCCTATACAGGATCACTATGAATTGGATTCTACTGGATGGCACTGGGTGTCTTTTAAGTTCCATCTGCCCTCATATAACTAGTCAGTAATGTTATCAACCGAATTTAAATTCATGAGATCTATGCTCATTCAAATATTATTAACAAACCATATATTGTCCACTAGGAAGAAAAAACTCAGTAATTTGCGTTAAAAATAATCTAAATTTAAATATTTTCCATTATTGTTTGGAGGAAATCTACATGAGCAATAATAATTCTTCTTTGTGAAATAAAGTTAAAGGTTAATAAAAATATCTCAACTTCCTGCTATCCTTGACCTCAATGAATGCCACAAATAGTTCCCACTTGCCATAATGATGGATATTCTAAATGGAAAATCTATTTAATTCATGTAAGATTTCCATCTCTGACTATAAACCACTTGGAAGTGGTCCTTTTCTCTGTGTGTGTGTGTGTGCGCGCGTGCTCTGAAGTTTCTCACCTCTGGTCAATGAAAAGTGACGTCAGTGAACTAATTGGCTCCTCTTCTGCGTAGGTACCCTGACATGCCCACCGCTGCTGATGTTGTGAACGCTTTAGATCAACAAGCACTCGCATCCATCCTGAGAACATACGGGGAAGAGAAGCATGCCAAGAAAATAGCTTCTGCAATCGTTCAGGCACGCAGCATCTACCCTATCACTAGAACCCAGCAACTTGCCAGCATCGTTGCAGGTACCCTCATTGATTCTGTACCGTGTCTGAGAGTGGGAGAAAAACTACACACACACGTCAATCCCCCAAGTTCCCAGAAGGATTTGTTTGTACTTGAAATCAATCATACAGTATATAGAACCTTGCCTATCTTCTAATGTCGCCTTTTTTTGTTTTGCAAGCTTTTCCACCACCACCCCCATAACACAAAACAAAAACAGAAACCAAAAATCAAAGAAACAAACCTGTAGTTTATGAGTAAGTTTAATAACAGATTAAAAAAAAACCACATAAGGTAATTTGCCATTTGCACCTACCCAGGTGAAACCTGAAATGACAGGAGCAGAAGCATTTCTTGCTCCATCACAGTGGTTGATCAGCATCCTGTAAAAAGATCTGACGTTACCTCTCTTAGTTTCAACATTGCTGTGTTTTAATATTGCCCAACTGCTAAAATAAAACCCAGTGACTCATACATCTATTCTAAACAACCAGCTAACAAAGGCTATGTGATGTATAGGTTACGCTACTTTGTGAATGCTAACTAAATCAGCCTGAGGGGCTTATTGGAACATTTCATCTTTTCTGCTATTTGCCTTCATAAACCTCTTGAACCTAAGTCTAGCGAGGAGCCACTTTATTATAGCCTTTCTGTTTGAAGAGAAAGTTGTTTCACAGCTGTGTTCCATGATGAAAGTTTTCCAAGGCAAAAATACAACCCAGCAGTTATTTAACAGAATTCCAATAGTGAATTTTCTTATTGTTAGAACATCTGAAACCCTGCATCATTTTCACTTACCAAAAATATTAAGATTCCTTTTCAAAGGCTTTTATTATGTTCCAAAAGTAGCTAAAGGAAATGAAAAAAATATTTGTGTAGCTTACAAAAAGAACCTGAAATTAACTGTCTACCTTAATATCCATAGTTTAAAGATAAAACTTAATTTTTCATATATTTGTATCAATCAGATTTAGAGATCATCTAGCATGTGCTTTATAATCTAATCAAATAAGACTTTAGTCCACTTACTTATGAACATAAAATACAAAAGAGTGATGAAATCCTTACATTTTACATTGCATTCCTCACGGTCTTTCTACATTATCATTGAAATTTCTTCTGTACAGTAAAAGCACACTTTCATAGGTTATGTGTGAATAAAATAGTCCATGGCATTTTCCTCCCCAAAATTGTCTGAAGATTAGCATGCTGACATTGAAACCACCCATCTCTTGCCCTATTCCCCCACTCCATACTCACTAACACCCTCTACCTTTTTTCTATAGTTCTTTAGCTAACTATGTGTGTGCTTATTTACCTCGCCTGTTGGAAAGAATAGCAACGAGAAAGCACATTTTCATATCACAAACCAGGATCTTCTGGTGCCGAAAGTTGGGGTTATGTCCTACAAACTGTCCAATCAAGGAACCTATTCTGATAACTGAGTAAACTGAGACTCAGGGACATTAGAGGTTTGCTAAAGGTTACCATCTTAATTAATGGTAGAATCCGTACTAATCAAGAGCTTGTAAGCTCATGAACTTGAGGCATAGTTGGGAATATGCCTTTATTCTATTGTATTAATTGAAAAGTATATAAAGATACAAAGTAGGAACAATGTATTCTCAGAAAGATTATGAAGTAAAAACCACATTAATGCTATGACAAATTATATAGTGAAAGTGAGAATATTCATATATTTATAGGTAAAACCTCATTTAGCGAAAAGATCTTTAAACATTGAGTTCTCTATAATGAGACATTTTCAGATTTCAAATGTCCATGATGCAGTTTTACTGATGGGGATATAATGTTCTGAAAGATGAGAAAACGTGAAAAACAAAAATGTTTCCATTTTGTGCTCATTTGTTAAAAAGTATTTTGAGGTAATCCACTAGTGCCAAGTATTACAAAAGCCAAAACCAAACTCACTGCCCTCGAGTAGGTTCCAACTCATAGCATCACTCATAGGGCAGAGTAGAACTGCCCCTGTCAGTTTCTGAGACTGTAACTGTTGATTGAAGTAGGAAGCTCCATTTTTCTCCTGAGAGGTGGCTGGTGATTTTGAACTGCAGACCTTGCAGATTGCAGCCCAATGCATAACCACTGTGCCACCAGACAAGCCAGAACTATTGATGCTGAAAGAAGAATCCAAGGTACACTGAAGGCACTAGCAAAAACCAAAATGGTGCGGATTGACAGAATACCAATAGAAATGTTTTCAATAAGCGGATGCACTAGAAGCACTCACTAGTCTGTGCCAAGAAATTTAGAAGACAGTTATCTGGCCAAGTGATTGCAAGAGATCCATACTGTACCCGTTCTGAATAAAGATAACCCCAAAAATGCAGAAATTATTAAACACTATCGTTAATATAATGTGCAAGTAAAATTTTGCTAAAAATGATTCAATAACAATTATAGCAGTACATCAACAGGGAGCTGCTAGAAATTTAAGCTGGACTCCGAAAAGGATGTGGCACAAAGGATATCATTGCTGACATCAGATGAATCTTGGCTAAAAGCAGAGAATACCAAAAATAGAGATATTTACTTGTGTTTTATCAATTATTCAGAGGCATTCGATGGTACGGATCATAACAAACTATGGAAAATGAAAATCCCAGAACGTTTCATTGTGGTCATGCATACCCTACACATAGACCAAGAGGTAGTTCTTCTAGTAGAACAGGGAAATACTAAGTGTTTTAAAATCAGGAAGGTGGGTGTTAGATTGGTATTTTCTTAACATGTTTATTCAGTTTGTATGCTGAGTGTTCTAGGCTGGGTTGACTAGAGAAACAAATCCAGTGACACTCATATAGGTGTAAGAAAGAGCTTTATATCAAGAAGTAATTATATATCAAGAAAACATCCTAGTCCAGTCCAACTCAAGTCCATACATTGGATACTAATTCATAAGTCCCTCTTCAGTCACATGCAGTGATGCAGAATGCAGGAAGATCACAGGCTGGTGTCCAAGGTTGGTTGGAAGATGGCAGGACTCCAACAGGCCAGCAAGCAGGAGAGTCAAGGCAGAGATTGAGAGGTTCCCCAGGGCCTCCTTAACAGACAGCCACACTCATAAGGAGGAATGATTGGGCTGTGGCCTAACTGAAGATTGGCTACCACACCTACACATTTATATATCTTCAAGTTGGTATAAAAGTATGTAACTACCTCAGACTCGACCGAAAAACACTCCTAAAGGTCAGCGAATATACCTTGAACTATTTACAGGCTTTCTTCTTTTTTTGTCAGTGGTTTTGTTGCCGTTGTTTTGTTTTCTTTTGTTGCTTTATTTTGCGCTGTCTTGTTTTTGTGCATACTATTATCTCTGCAGGTCTATCTAGAAAAGATAGGCTGGATAAACAATCTGGAGGAGAAAACAATGGGACCAATGTTTCTGGGGGACATGGGACAGGGGGAGGTGGGGAAAAGGAAGTGGTGTTAACAAACCCAGGGACAAGGGAAAAACAAGCTATCTAGGATCAGTGGTGAGGAGGCTGTAGAGGACTGGTGGGGCTTGATCAAGGGCAATGTAACCAAGAGGAATTACTGAAATGAAGGCTTAACGTGATAGTGGGACAAGAGGAAAGTAAAAGGAAATAGAGGAAAGAACTAAAAAGCAAAGGGCATTTATAGAGGCATACATACAGGCATATACATATGTAAATATATTTATATATGATGATAAGGAAATAGATCTATGTGCATATATTTATAGGTTTAGTATTGCAGTAGCAGATGGCCATTGGGCCTCCACTCAAGTACTCCCTCAACGCAGGAACACTTTGTTCTATTAAACTAGCAGAATTGGGATCATGATAGTGTGGAGAGGAGGAAGCATTTAAGATTTTTTGTTCTTTGATGCCTGATACCTGATCCCAATGATCGCTGAAGATAAAACGGGTTTATAAGCAAATGTGAAGAAGAAAGCAGATGGTGCCCCTATCAAAAGATATAGCATTTGGGGTCTTAAAGGCTTGAAGGTAAACAAGCGGCCATCTTGCTGAGAAGCAAAAAAGCCCACATAAAAGAAGCACACCAACCTGTGTGATCATGAAGTGTCGATGGGATCAGGTATCAGGCAACAAAGAACAAAAAAATCAAATCATTGTGAATGAGGGGGAGTGCAGAGTGGCGATCCAAAGCCCATCTGTAGGCAACTGCACATCCCCTTACAGAAGGGTTGTGGGGAAGAGACAAGCCAGTCAAGGTGCTATGTAGCAACGATGAAACATACAACTTTCCTCTAGTTTTTAAATGCTTCCTCCTCTCCACACTATCATGATCCCAATTCT